CTTTCTCCGCCGGGGCAACTCCATGAGAGGTGCCGCCCTCAAACTACTGTTCCTAGGAGTCCCAGGGGTTTCCCAGGGTATCTCGGGAAGGCCTGGTGGGGACAGTGTGAATGTCAGCATAGAAGGTGCTCAAAGCACTTTAATTCAAGTAAAAAGAGGGCCGAAGAGCAAGAAACGTGGACGTCAACTCCTCTCGGGAGGCTTTTTGTCTTGATTTACGCTGTTGAGCCAGCGTTTTTGCCAGGTGGATGTGTGGACCTGGGTCCACGTCCGGCTGGGCGTGTAGCTGGCAGTGACGGTTTGCTCGTCGCAGTCGCGTCTTCCCCACCGCGGCGCAGTTTTCCGTGAACATGATCTGTACTTTGCTGCGAGCTGTCCGCTGTACGGAGAAGCTGCACAGGTCCTCGGGGAAGCGGCTGTTCTTGCCACACTTGGTGTTTAACAAAGCTGGCTTGCAGACTGAGCCCAATCTGAGGTGGAGGCTGCAAGAGCAGAGGAAAACGGTGCGGCCAAAGTGTATTTTAGGAGTCACCCAGAAAAACATCTGGACGCAAGGACAGAGCCCCCCGAGAGCCGAGGAGGACAGCAGCAAACAAGTGTCTGTGCACAGAAGTCAGAGCGGGGAAACCGTCATCTCGACCTCACAGAAAGGTAAAAGGGATTCTCTAACGGTCAGCCTTTCAGCAAACGTGACGAGAGCTGGTAGTGCCCTTTTACACAAGTTCAGTTCTAAGGATAAACAGTTAACACAAATTAAAAGGCAGAACCGTTAAACACAGTTTAGAGTCAAAGAATATAGGCCTACAATTTTCTTCACAGATTTGAACTCAAATTTGAAAGTTAATTTTGATATAACTTTGTTGAATTATGTCTCTAAAAGTTTTCTCAATTGTTACGTTTTCGTGTGGAGAGAGCTAAATAAAACTTAACCTCCTTTAATACTTTCTAATAGACAAGCAGATTCTCCAGATGTTATTTAATCTCATTTGAGTCTCACATTTACTCTTTAAGATATTAGTACTCATTACTACATAGGAGGTATGTTTCCCCAGTTTCACACAACTAAAAATTGAATGTGAATTTTCCTGATCTCAGGTTTGTAATATCCAGGCCAGTGCTTTTTAGGACAACCATTCACAGGTATTTCTTGAGCTTCCATTTTTCTCTGTGCTTAGCACTTGAACAGTTCTAATGAGTGTGCCAAAGACATCTAATACACGAATAGCTTACCACTTGGGAAGAAAGTAAGAGTGTGAAACAAACAGTAAAAAGGCAGCCTAACTGTGCTATCAAAAAAAAGTAGGGAAGATATGATAAAGAGTAACGGGATAGAATATACAGAAAAGAGAGATTATTGAGTCATAATCCATAGGGATTAACTCAGGCAGTTCAATTTGGTGGTGGCTGTTGTGCCCAGATACTGAGTTAGACTCCGTATAGTACAGAATTTAAGATACCCAAAACATCACCCACCTTCGTATGATATGGGCAGTAATCAAAAATACAGTAGTTCATCCCTGATACTTGAGCAGGGTTGTGAGGGATGATTAGAAGTTCAGCACACAAGGAATAGCCTGTACGCAGAGGTCAGAGGCACTGAAGTGTCAAACAGCAGAGGTCAAGTCCTCTGGCTGGAGCTCAGCGCCGCTTACACCGTGGCAGGCAGGGCCTGCTGCAGAGCCACATCCTGGTCTGGCTCCGTTCGGGGGTGGCAGCCTTCCTGTAACCTAGTGAATGGGTGGGAGCGGTTTTCCCAAGTATGGAACGTGCTGCCTCCAGGGTCCAGAGAGTCCTGTCCCCAGCTGTCATAGGATGTACAGGACGTAGGTAATAGTTGTCTTTTCTTGGGATGGGATGTCCCGCAGCCTCTCCCCTACTCCACACCATACACTGCACTTCTCAGAGTTTTGCTAGTGTGGGCGGCAGACCCTGGATCTTTGCTGGGCTCGGCCCCATACTTGGAGTACACCCAGCATACCTGCTGCTTGTTGCCCTGGGTTTTGACGACCATGATGGCACAAGTGGAGTGGACAGATGTGATGTGTTGTGAAGTGTCCAGAACAGCATTGTCCAAAGAAAACTCTGTGCAGTGAAGGAAACACTTTATATGCCTGCTGTCCCAGTGTGGTAGCCAGTAGCCACATGTGGCTGTTGAGCACTTGAAACATTGCTATTGTAATGGAGAAAGAGTTTTTATGTAATTTTAAGTAAATTGGAAGATTAAACTCAAAGTAGCCATGTGTGGCGTGCGGCTGCCCTGTTGGACAGTCCAGATCCAGCCCTCTGGGCCCTTCACGCTGTATTAAAAGCTGGTGGGAGACCTAACGAGTCCCGGGCAAGACCACGCAGACACGGTTACTGCCAGTCTCAGGTCGCTACGCGCTCCTGCTGCGGCGCCTTCTCAGTAGCGGTGGAGAACGTGTTCTCCAGGGCAGTGGCCGATACCATGAGTCCGTTTTAACGTGCTCCCCTAAAGTTATTTAATTGAGTTTGCCGCAGCCCCCCGCCCTCCAGGCGCTGCCTGGTTTCTGTCAGGGGCAGACTGGTGAGTTACACGGGAGCAGAATAGGGACCACTACCTGCATCCTTAGTCTAAGAATAGCGCTGCCTCTGTCCCCCCACCCCAAGACGTGAAGTGACACAGGGACGAGCGGCTGCAGGGCTGTGTATAAAAGTGTCAGGTCTGCAAAGGTGGGCAACAGGCAGCTGCCACTGACGATGGTGATAAAATAACAATCAGACTTTAAAAATATGTGGACGATGGGTGATCCTCAGCACAGGGCCTTGCGCATAGTAGATATGGCAGATGTTTCTGGGTGAAGAAACGGGAAAGAAGCTTCCTGAGAGTCTCGGTGCGGCCGCGGAGATTGTGCGGAAGGCAGGTGAGAGTCCAGGATGTTGGGGCCCAAGGCCTGACTTGGGTCCCAGGGAGTCACCCGGCTCCGGATCAGCACAGCCCCATGTCCTCACATGGCCTGGACCACAGCTGGCGGGTGATAGGTATTGTGCTTTGTGGCCTTAATGGAGAACGGAATGAAGGGTTCTCCTTGACAGCCTCTCCACCCCTGACCCGTGTTCAGCGACTGTGTGGATCAGGCCCAGGGATTACACAGGTTTTGGCAGATGCAGTCTTTTTATCATTTGAATCACATCTGTTTAGTTAGCAATCTGGACTGAAAGCCTAAAGGATTGCACTCTGCCAAAGAGTACTTCTAAATAAGCATTATTTCATAAAAGTAGCAGCAGCTTCCTATAAAAAAGGGAAAAGTAGAGAAGATAGTAATAGTGTCTTAACATTTTGTTGTTGTTCTGGGAAAAAAAGATTTTGTAAGAGATTTATGTTCCAGAAATCTGTGTTCTTTATGTGGTGAATAAATTAATTTATAAATTCAGGAAGCCATTGACTTTCCAGCACGAGTGAAAGAGCCTAGTTGTAACAGTAGCACTCAGTCCTTTGTATATGTGTGTAGGTGTATCTGTAGATGTAAGTACACATACGTATGTGCTCTGTCCCGTGATCACATCTTGATTGGATTTATTTCACTCTCAGAACTTGTATTTAATCCATGTGCACATCTTTTATTAGTGTTGGAAAAAAAGTGCAGTATCTGTGTAGTTTCTTCATCTTTTAAATCTGTTGGATTCACACATCTGCCCAGCCAATTAAATTCCTGTTCTAAATTCTGTTTTGTGTGTCACCCCCAGCAGGGTGGCAGGACAGGGGAAGGTCACTGACTGTTGAGGCCCATTTGATCCCCTGACTGCAGCTGACAAAGCCAACACGTAATGTGTGAACAGCACACTGGCCAGTGGTGCCTAATCTAGGCCAGTTGTTTCCACTCCAAGGGCCTGGATCGCTTCTTCAGAGGATTTCCTCATCTTACCCAATAAGGAGGTGTTAAAATCCTGCTACTTACATAAAATTTCTATTCCTAAGAGCTGCTCCCAGAATTCCACTGTGGTTCTTTTAAAAAGCTTCTTCAGGTGGTCCTGATTCACAGGCGGCTTGACAACAGCTGCTCCAGAACACGTGCAGACCCACTCTTTAGGTCCTGAGCCCACATCTCACCTGCTAGAGGTGCTGTCGCCAAGAGCATCCCTGCTTGTCTGGCACACGTGTAACCAGTGGTGTTTTCTCTTTACAGTGAAAGAAGCTGGAAGAGATTTTACCTATTTAATAGTGGTGCTTGTTGGAATCACCATCACAGGTTGAAAACACAGCAAGTATAAAGCCCCTGAGTATCTTCCACTTCCCACTTGTCTCGTTCTTGCTTCGCTTGATCTTCCTTTTCTGTGATTTTCAGGTGGCTTGTTTTATACGATCTTCAGAGAGCTTTTTTCTTCATCCAGTCCTAATAAGATATATGGGAAAGCCCTAGAAAAATGCAGATCGCATCCCGAGGTTAGTCCTCCCCAAGATGGAGTTTCACGGGCTCGGATAACAGGGAGAGAAATGTTGGGGTTGCGGGGTGGGTGGTGGGCAGAAATCACACACTGGTTCCAAGACTAGAGCAGTTTACATAATAACAATATAATGGTTGGACTTTGTTTTCTGTACTTGAAATGCTTTGATTAAGAGCACCCAAAGGTCCATGTGGCAGTGTTTCCATCCTAATTGTACAGGAGAGTCGTTTGACTAGTTGTCATAGATAATAAGTGCTTAGCATATACCAGAGTGTTAAACTCATGCAATAAGCTTCCGGTCATCTTAAAAAACTGACCCATAACCTCATGATCATACTAGTAATTGTTGACACTTTGCGAGCAAACCATGTGCCAGGCACTATGCTCAGTGTTTGAGTGCATCATGTTTATTAAATCTCACAAGAGCCATTTGTGTTGGGAACTGCTGTGACCCTGTTTGCCGAAGGAACCGACATTTAAAGAGATTAAATAACTTAGGTCACCGAGCCGGTAAGTGGGAAAACCAGAGCCTGAATCCAGTTATCTGATTCCACGTCTGAGGCTCTGAAGCACAGCCCAGCCTGTGCAAACCACTCCTGGAGGAGGCAGACACAGGGAAAAGCCGCCTCGATTGCTTTAAGGATCCTGTCCAGAAGGAAGCTTTACATAATGCTTTCCAGTCACAGCATGAAGCCAGTGCAGCCCGTGAAGTGCCAGGTTTCTGACTCCCTGGGTGGAGAGCTCTGGCGGTGAAAAACGTCACTTGCTGAAATCTTAGTTCTCGCGCTCTGAGAGAAGGTGGCAAATAGCATCATAAACATCGGGCTCCTTCTCACGCAGACCAAGGAGTGATGGCAGAGAAACAGAACGTGCAGTCCATGGGGAGGGAAGATTTGGAACCCACCGATGCCCTCAGTGTCGATGCCCTGCAGTGGCTTTCCCTGGGGCCCGGCCTGCAAGTGCTCCAGCAGTGTCTCTGAACACGTCTGGGAGGGAACCGCACGCACTAGCCGACTCTGGCATCTTTCTCTTCTTACTGGGCCCTGGGCAGTCTGAGAACCGTGGAGAAGGAGGCAGGGAGGGAGATGCCTCTGAGTAAGTTGAAACTCAGCAGGGAATAAAGGAAGTCCCCACTGTAGTTAACTGGGAGTCCCAGTAATTCCTGACAAGAAAGGCTTTACAGGCCGCAAAAATAAATGCGAGCAGTAGTGTAATGATACGTCAGGATGCGTCTCCAAGAAGAGGTGAAGGGTCGCTGTGTTGCTCTCAGACTCGGCCTTATGGATCTGCAGCATTTTAAACAGGATGAACACAAAGAGTGGGGTGTTATTAAGTCATAACTTAATCTGCTGCCTAAAAAAGCTCTGCAAAGAGTCAACTTGAACAGTTCAGTTCTGCTAACGTTTGTCAATGGGCCGCTCTTTGCCGGGCACTGTGCCTGGTTGAAAAATAGCAAATCCTGATGTTCTGACACTGACGTGTTTAATCTGTTACAGTAAATGATTTGGACAAGCGTTCCAGTTGTTTCAGCTACCCAGTTCTTAAATGTCTCATCTTACATGTTCCTTTTTATTTATGCCTGAAAATTTTGATGCTGAAGACAGACAGCATGCTGACGCCCAACAAAGAAAAATTTCCAGAGTTGAAGCAATATTTTAGTTTGATATCCAATTCTGTTTTTTTGAAAAGGTTCCAAAGGTTTTGCTTTTTTTTTCTTTTTTTTAGTAAAGGTAGATTTATTCAGAGAGATACATTGAAAGGCAAGAGAAAGGCCATGAGGTGTAGGAGTTGGGTGCTCAAGTGTTTTTGCATTTTAAATACAGTAAAAATTACATTTCCATTTCATTGTGAGTTTTCCCATTAGGAATAATTGATTCGTACCTCTAGATCTGGTTTGTTTTAAATAGATCACTACTTGTTTTCATTTGTGTTTAGTGACTTAAAAAGTCATTTTGATCTGGGAGCTTTTAGTTTTAGCCACCATTAGATAAACTGCACTAAAAATGTTCAGACTTCACATTTGAGCACTGCTTCATCATGTTTGTTTTTCATAAAAGGGGAGCAGGAAGGGCCCACTGTTCTGAGAGTACAAGTCTCTGCATGAAATGTTTGATTGTTAATTATGGGATGATTGTTGCATAACTTTTTCCCAGTTTTCTTATCACTGGAGTCGCCATCTGGAACGAGTCTCGGGCTTTACTGATTTTTTTTCTTAAAATAAATCACTTGGTTTATCAGAAAATACTTCCCTAGGAAGCTTTAAAAAATCTCGTGGCTGAAAGCGTGGTCCTCATTCTCAGGTCATCAGCGTCTTCGGGGAGCCCGTCAAAGGCTACGGGGAGGCGACGAGACGCGGGCGGAGGCAGCACGTCAGGTACTGCAGTTGCTGAAATCGCAGGGCTCGGGGCTGAGTTTCAAATGAGGGTTCAGGCTTGTGTTCTTTCCTTTTCTCGACAGCTTTGTTGAGTACGTAAAAGACGGGCTGAAACACATGCGTGTGAAATTCTACATCCAGGGCCCCGAGCCTGGGAAGCAGGGAACGGTGCACCTGGAGGTGAAAGAGGTGAGGGCCCGACAGGAAGAGGACTCGGAGCTCGGAGCTCCGCACGCACCGGGGAGCAGAGCGACACCTCATACGGGTTTGTTTTTCTTTTTTCTCAGAACCCAGAAAGCGGCGAATATGAATTTCGATATATATTTGTAGAACTTGAACCCTACTCCAGAAGAACTATCATCGTTGAAGATAATCGATCCTAAGACGGTTAAGAGAACAGCAGGCGTGTGCTCCCTGATGGACATGGAGGGGGCAGGCTCTGCCCTTCTCAGCCCTCTTCCAGAGTCTATTTTGAATAAAATAGGGAAGAATAGAGCTCATCAAAGTGAAGGCAACGGGGTAGTTGTTGCAGTTAGACAGACTGAATTAGAGATTTCCTTGAAGTGAGAGATCATGAAATAGAGCATACTTTGTTATCTCATCAAACCGCCAGTCATGGGCAGTGTTTCTGCTCTTAACATCATCTTTGTGGTAAGAATTTTTGGTTATGAAAAATTTTACACCATATAAATAAAAAAAGAGTTCAGTATTTTACGCTTTTTTTATGTTACGTAACTGTAAAATCTGTGAAATAAAGTTGAAACTAACAAAAAGATGTCAGTAGCGGCTTCCTTCCATGTATTTTGGAATCTGACTCGAAGTGAACATTTGAAAATATTTGAGAACTACAGGGAACGAAGCCATACACTCTTCAGAATCATCGTAGCTGGATGCACCCATTGCAGGCAGGGTCTAGAGTAATCTGGTCTGTCTTCATATTTCCCCCTGTGAACGGGGCACATTGTACACAGTAGCACAAGGGCAGGCTCTGAAGTCGGGGGGATCAGGGTTCTCACCAGGTGCGGGGGCCCCATCAGGCATCACCCTCACACGCACCTGGAGCAAAGAACAAGATCCCTAAGAGCAAAGACATGACCAGTTTGGGTGGAGGAGTGAATAGAAAAGTACAGTGACTTCAGTTATGGTCTTAACGGTTGTGTCCCTGCAGAGCTCACATGTTGAAGCCCTAACCCCCAAGTGACAGTGTCAGGAGGTGGGGAGGGTGATGAGGTCATGAGGGTGGAGCTGTCGTGAATGGGATTGGTGTCTGTAAAGAGACCCCAGAGAGCCCTCCCGCCCCTTCCCCACGTGAGGACACGGCTGGGAGTCTGCAGCCTGGAAGACGGCCTGAGTGGCCTGAGCCTAGTCTCAGCCTTAGATTTGATTTACCTTGTTACCCTGAATCCTCGAGTCTCCCCAGACTTTATGCATTCGCATACAAATATGTGAAAACCCTGTTTTCTGTTCTTCACTATAATACTGTGTCATTCTTTCTGTGGCCTAAATTATATCTGATTTTACAATTTTGGCTACACCTTTTTTCTCCTTCCTGCATACATGAGTTTTAATCCACTCCCAACTCCCTGTTCCCACCGCCCCCTTGCATACCAGGTGCTCCCAGAGGCCTTCAGCCAGGAGGTTAGGATCGGTCCCCACACCATGTCTCTCCCCAACTAATCTTCCCCCCTCACTGCACGAGAGCTGGCCTAAACCCTGGGTTGACTGCTCGCTGCGCCACTCACATCCTTCAGTGACCTCCTACCGTCCTGAAACACTAACTCCAGTCAGCAGAGCCAGCGCAGTCAGCTCCCATGCTCCACCCCAGCCCCCCAGCCGCAGCCCAGCCACCCAGACAAGCTCACTGCGGATCACTCCTGAAGCCCCTTACGTTCCAGAGTCCACTGCTAGGCTGTTGTAAGGCTGATGTGTTTTGCTACTAAACATTCCCAGGTACTTGGAGTTTTCTTAATGCTTAATTGGGCCACTCACATTCCTTTCTTACCAGAGCAGTTACGGAAGCTATTGTTCTGTTGGGTAGGACTTCTCTGCCCCTCAGTGGCATTTTCAAAAGCCTTCTACTGAATTCCGTAACATTCCACAAGAAAAGTGGGGTCACGTGGCATTGGTCCTCAGCCATACGGGGCGGCGAGGAGCCCTAGTTTTACTCATGGGGGGGCACAGGGCTTTATTATTCCTTGGGAACCAGAAACAGGGTTTCTCACTCATTCAGTCTTTCAGTGCCTCTTAACACCTGGGTCCACCAGCTGTGGAACAAGAGAGGTCGCTACCCACAAAGGGACTGAGGCCAACCTCTTGGTTTTTTTAAAATTTTATTGATGTATAGTTGATTTACAATGTTGTGCTGGTTTCAGGTGTACAGCAAAGTGCGTCAGTTACACGTATACATATATATATATTCTTTTCCATTATAGGTTATTACAATGTACTGAATACAGTTCCCTGTGCTACACTGTAGGACCTTGTTGTTTATCTGTTCTATACACAGTAGTGTATATCCGTTACTCCCAAACTCCTAGTTTATCCCTCCCCCCACCCCTTTCCCCTTTGTAACCATAGTTTTCTGACCTTAAGTCTATTTCCAGTTTGTACGTAAGTTCATTTGTATCTTTTTTTTTAGAGTCCACATAGAAGTGATATCATATGATATTTCTATCTGGGGACCAACCTCTTCTGATTCCCATTTTGTTTCACCCTCTTGTGCACCCCAGACCCTCACGGTGTCACAGACACAACACACACACAGTTTGACAACAAAGCCACAAGTGGTGACAGCAGGAGAATTCCTAAGGGGACACTCCAGGTACAGGCCCCGGGGCTGGTGGACCCCAGACCCATCACGGAGAGGAGTCAGGACAAAACCTCCAGGAACAGGCCGCCCCAGGCCCTACCCGCTCCACCCGCTGAACCCCACGTGGCCAAGTCCTTGGCTTAAGCACATACCCCGGCTGACCTCATCCCTTCGAGAGCCTCAGTTCACTCATGTCTCTGGCCTGTATTACAAGGGAATTCTCACAGTGTGGACGGATCTTTGGGCCCAGCATTCAGGTGCAAACAAGAGTGCCTGCTGGAGCTGCAAGTGGCTCGAGCTCATCCATTTGTGTGACCCCAGAGCCAGGGATGTGACCCAGGCTTGTCTGACTCTCACGTCCTGGGTATTCAGCCACTACCTGATCTTCCCTTTCCCGTTTCTTTACCTCTTAGCAATTCGGTTTCCTCATCTCTCGTGTGAGGACAGCAATACCACCTCACAGGTTTTATGAGGATTCCATGAGCAGGTGCAGAAGGCACTCCCTCTTTGGCACCTGCTACACGGCAGCTGTCGGTGTATCTCGTCTTCCCTTTAGGTTTAGATCATAGATAAAGTATCATTTTCATTTTTGTGTCCCCAGTGCTTAGAGTATTTGGAAGATAGTAGGTTCTCAAAAATTCTATTAAATCCAAGCCTTGGAAAAATCTACAGCATACTCCTAAAACAGAGGCAACACAGTTTTCAGAAGGTGACTTAAAAAGCTGGTGAATTCCTAGTATGCCAGTGAAAACAGAAGGCGACAGAAATTGCGGATGCAGACTTGTCACACCCAAAAGCATTTCTACATTAGTAAAACAAAACAACAACCAGAATAATATAAATCTAATTCCTCTAGAAGGTTGAGGTTTCCCCAGGAGCAGGGATGGAAGAACGAAAACGTACACTGCTCTTCAGAATACACACACACACACACACACACACACACACCAGACAAAAAATGGTTCATGGAACAACCAACTTGTAAGACCACTTCATAATATGATAAAACAAGAATACAAAGAAAAGTAGTATTTTGATCAAATAGTTAGTAGAACTGCAGTAAATGTTTTGATTGGTGTCTACTGATTTGACCCTAAAGGGTGTTTTTTGCATTTTTAGAAAAGAATGTTTTCAAAGTAAAACATTTCTTTGACTGCAGTGAAAATGATCTAATCATTTGCATTAACCAGATACATTGGATATTCTGGAATTATCCATCGACTGTACAGAGTGGCACCACGGCCCCACCTTGTTTTCCACCACAAGGCATGTGGTGCTGGCGGCGGTCGGTGACTTGCACATATCTTGTAAGAAAGGGCTCCCAGGTTCCCCTGACACCCAGATGACCTGTTGAGGCCTCTGCCCCTCGTCCACCAATATCCCATTTCCAGATTCCCTACCCAACCTAGAAAAATATTAGTCGAGGCTTCTCTGGTTCACAACCATCATTCTCAGATCTCTGGTAAATTACAAAATGCCTCCCCTTCTCCTCCTCTTTCTGTCCTCTCTCCTTTTTCATGAAACTTGTGAACTTTTGTTAAAAACAGTTAACAGCAATGCAAATACCTCATTAGATGTTGAATGTGTATCGATTCCATTGGTTACATTAAGATCTGATGATTTTTTTTAAAAAGTCAAAGGAAGCATGCCAAAATGAAAACTTAGTTGAAAAGGTCAGATCCATTGGCGAGAGAATCCTGACTTGACTCCTGGCCGCTGTCATCAGTAGCACCCATACCACTCACACAAACTGTATCTGATACGTGTTGTAGCATCGAACTATGGGGAGGGGCAGCAGGACCATGAAGGAAGGAATCAACTGACATTCGTCCATGGTGACACTCTAGTCCCAGGGGAGCCTCCTTTATGTGAATTCATTGTCTACATTTGCTTCCTGCTCCTGTCACATGAGAACGTGGAAATGGGGGTGCTCATTTATTTAAGCAAAATGGTCAGTATGGTTTCAGAGAGGAGTAAATGCTATAAAGCAAATGCAGGCCGAGTGAGGTGCATGGCTTTCTGCCTACGGAGGAGACTCGAAAGGACGATGCATTGATTTCTCAAGGAACCAAATGGGCACAGAAGATGACAGCCAGCTGTTATGTCTTTCCAGGAAGCCGCTGGCTGCTGTGTGACAGGCTGGCCAGTGAATGCTGCCAATTTTGTTTAGGAACAATTCAGATGAAAACCACAAACCTATTAAGCTAAATGTCACAGTCATTGATATCAATTTGTATTTAACCTATAGTTATACAAAATGGACATCATACATAAAAAAAATATATGTCATTTTAAGTAGTTTCAAGTAATATAATTGGATTGTAATAGGTTCATTATTCTTCATATCAAAGAATTATGAAAGTGTTCATTTTTGTCTTTATAAAATGTGATGGCATCGTTACTGATGTTATTATTAATGCCGGCTTCTTTTATTTCTAATTTGTGTAACCTGGGCGCACTAATACTCGTGTTAAGACCAGGGCGGAATTCCTCATTAGTGGTGCCACCTGGCAGCCCGGCTCTCACGGGCTTGCCTTACACTTTAACAGCAGGGGACGTGCGTGCAGCCCTTGGCTTGATTGCTTCCGGTCTTTGAAGTGTTCTTGATTTGGTTCCTGGGGCTGCAGCCCTGAGGATGTTTTTAAGTGGGCTGCTGGCGTTCCTCCCACACAGAGGACATCTGCAACCTCCAGAGTCTGGACTAGAGCTTTGGGCTTCCAGGGAGGGGAGCTCTGAGCGATAGGCACGCAGGGCCACACACTTCAGTATCCAGGTGACTTCACACACAAGCTCGTGTCCCAGGGAAGCAGCAGATGCAACCTCTAACTCTCCTTTAGAATCCATCAAACCTCAGTTTCCCCCACGTTTTTCTCCTCGGTGTGCCCCCCTCTCCATCACCCTTCCTCTCTTCTCTCCAGCCTCCCTCCTCCCGTCTCCATCCCCTCATCTTCTCCCTATTTGCTCCT